TCCCATCGAATCTCTTTTCAAGTGTGATACTTGATCACTCCACCATCCTAGGCTCAAGATGCTCTCTGTCCCAGCCTTTGCCTCTGCGGCCAGACTTTCTTGGCAGTGTCCCATCTGTCCAGCTCTGTGGCATCTCACGACCCACCAACCCTGTGGCTCAGCGTGCAACTTCAGGGTCGTCATCCCTCACAGCCGTCCCCACAAGGCTCTCTGACTCTACTCTTCTGTGTGTCCTCTTGTCACCACACCTAATGCCACCCAGCACGACACGCACTTCCTAGCACCGAGAAGCAGGCAACAGCTGCTCTGGTCCAACCACCACAGCATGCTGTTAGCAGCCGCCTGCCCCTAGATGGGATGTCCACACCAGCAGGAGGTCGCTTCTCCCTCCTTCTGCATCCCACAGGAAGTCACGAGAGAACATGTGTGGACCGTTTCAAGCCACATGCACCTTAGGTCCTCTGTGCTGGGTAAACAGTGAGGGGCAGAAATGACCTCTACAGGATGGTTCCAGTCCCCCTTAGTCTCCTGTCCTACTCAAGTCCACTCTCTTCCTTTGTCATTACCCAAGACCCTCTGCTGGCTTCTCACATACTGCCAAGCTGGCATCTCTTAGAGTGCCTTCCTTCCTTCCTTCCTTTCTTCCTTTCTTCCTTCCTTCCTTCCTTCCTTCCTTCCTTCCTTCCTTCCTTCCTTCCTTCCTGTCTTTTCTAGACAGGATTTCTCTGTGTAGCCCTGGCTGTCCTGGACTCACTTTGTAGAACCAAGCTGGCCTCGAACTCACAAAGATCTGCCTGCCTCTGCCTCCCCAAGTGCTGGGATTACAGGCATGTGCCCCCACACCTGGCTTTGAGTGCTCATCTTCCTGCAGGAACCCCTACTATGGATCAGGTCACAGCCAGGGAGGTCTTGAAAATGGATCAGGAACAAGGTTGGCAGCACTCACAGACACAGACTAAGAATCCAGGTATCAGTCCCATCCGGCTTCTGAATGAGGGCTACACTCGGCCCTCATTTCTCTCATCTGTGGGACTCAGCCCGTCTAGGGCATGGGTAGGTTTCAAGAAACACTTACGAAGTTGGGGAAAACAGTAAAGAATTAAAACACACTTTTCTAAATACTGCCTCTTAAATTTCTACTTTTTACTAAGCTGTACCTGGCCAAGCCAAGATTCAGCCTATAAGTAAACAATGTGTGTGTGTGTGTGTGTGTGTGTGTGTGTGTGTGCATGTGTGTGCATGTGTGTGCATGTGTCTAGGCGGAATGTGCACAGGGAAGAGTTCAAATCTGGGTGTTGTTCTTTAAAAGCTGGCCACTTTGTTTTGAGCCCAGTCTTCTGCAAGAGCAAGTGCTCTTAACTGTTGAGCCCATCTCTCCAGCCCCAAGAACAGGCAGATCTTGTGGCAGGAAATGGGGAAGGGCCCATGGGCAAGGGAAATGGCCTGGGGGAGGAAGCAGGGTGGTGGCTCAAAGGCAGGATGCCCTGTTTTTCCATCTTGGTTTGACGAGAAGCAATGCCTGGTCCTTCAACACAGCGGCAGCTTTTGCCCGCCTCATTGCCCAGCTTTCATGGCTCTAGGTCCCTGGCAACCGACTGTGGATTATAGACAGTTTTCCTGACAAAGCACATGGGCTCCTAAAGCAGTGGGACGTTCACTGTGGCTGGGCTCACCAGCGCGCGACGCAGCAGGAAACCCACAACCTTCAGCTTGTTCTGGCCATCCTCAGAGGCTAGGCAGTCTGACCTGACACCACTCCCACAGTGACTAAGAGTCCCGTCATATCATCTGGCCTAGGGACACACATTCTGGACAAATCAAAGTCCTCTTGATGCTTTCTGCCAACACCAAGAAAGGAGTGAACACCCTGAGGACTCCCAGGACCCCGGTCAAGCCAGATCCACTTCTCTACACATAGAACCACCCTTTCTCACACATGCCCTGTGACCCTAGCAAGCTTAGTCACATGCCCAACCCAAGGAGGAATCCCTGGTCCTTGCCTTTTCTATGCATCAGATGGGTCACCCTTTGAGTCCCTTGAGCTTCCCCCCCACCTTTGTTTTTGAAACCAGCTGGTTTCAACCTTAGGCTGGCTCCCCTCAAGGAGCCCATCTTCAACCCTGTCTCTAATGGGGTCCTTCTTGTTAGGGCTCCTTGGTTAATGGATTGTGTTAGTGGGGAGTGGCCCGGCTGATCCTGTGCAGGGTGACCTGTGACAGCTGGAGATCATGTCAGCAGATACCTTCCACCCTAGGACACCAGACTCAGTAAAGCCCATCCCCAGGCCTCTGCAGAAAGGCCTCCCTGTCTGCTCCATGGTGCCTGACTCTCCCTCGTTCACCTCCTTAAGCTGTCATCCCAGGAAACATGGACCTAATGAAGCAGTGAAGTCCAAGAAAGATATATTTCTGAGGAATTCCAGCTCGGAGTTACTCTACTAGTCCTTACTTTACCACTGAGTTTGTGGAAAAAATCTGAGTGAGGGTTTGGCTCAGTGGTTAAGAGCACTTGCCACTCTGACAGAGGATCTGGGTTTGGCTCCCAGAACCCACAGGGCACCAGTAACTCCAGTTCCGAGGGGTCCGAAGCCTTTTCTGGCTTCCATGGGTACTGTATATACATGGTGCACATACATACGGTTAAGTATTTTTTAAAAATTAAAGAATGGAGCTGGAACGATAGCTCATTAACTAAGAGCACTGGCTGCTCTTCCAGAAAACCCAAGTTCGATTCCCAGCACCACTGTGACTGCTCCTAACAATCTGTAAACTCCATTTCCAGAAGATCTGACATCCTCTTCTGACCTCTTCGGGCACCAGGCACATGGGTGGTGCCCAGACACACATGCGGGCAAAACACCAATCAATACACAACAAGATTTAGATTAAAAAAAACTTTTTTTGTTTTTGTTTTTCAAGACAGGGTCTTTCTGTGTAACAGTCTTGGCTCTCCTGGAACTAGCTCTGTAGACCAGGCTGGCCTTGGACTCAAGAGATCCGAAAGCCTCTGCCTCCAGAGTGCTGGGATTAAAGATATGCGCCACCATGCCCAGCTTAAATAAAATTAAATTAAAAAAAAAAAAACATGATCTTTAAAGCATTGTTTGCTCATTTGTTTTTTGGTTTGCTTTCATTATGTGTTTGGTGTGCTGGTGACAGAATTCAGGGCTTCACACATGCTAGTCAAGAGCTGGCTGGACCAATGAGCTACTACCCACTCCTCTAAAAACTCATTCAGTTAAAATGTTATCATTTTTAAAGGGCCAGAGATGGGGGTCAGTGGGTAAAATGCCTGATACACAAGCATGACGACCTCATCAAATCTCTGTCCCACATGTAAGGCAGGCACTATGGCCCATCTATAACCCCAGCACTGGGTGGGTGGAGACAGGAGGATGGCCAATGCTCATCAGCCATCCAGACTAGTCTAAATGGCATGCTCCTAATAAGTAAGAGCCCCTGTCTGAAAAATAATAAGGTAGGATGCAATCAACAGAGAAAGACACTGCACACTAAACTCTGGCCTACACACACACACACACACACACACACACACACACACACACACGTTAACATACAAGTACACAACACCCCACCACCACTACCACCATACATGATCCAGTAATCTGGGCATGGTGGCCGAAATCTGCAATTCCTCCACCCAAAGGCTGAGGCAAGAAGATTGTGAGTTTGAGGCCAGGTAGGCTACATCCTGGGACTTTAAAAATGGCAGAAGGGTAGGACCAGTAAATCAGGAAAGATGTATGTGGTTAACATGAGGGTACCGTCCCTTTGAAATTGCAAAGGCAGGCTCAAATGTGTGCCCTCCCCCCATGACTATAGGAGATTTCAGGTTACAGGGTGTGAGAGAACAAATGGAGAGAGACATGTGTGGCTGTTTCCCTAGCATTTGGTCCTAGCAAAGCTTTCTGCACCAGCTATTGCTTCTCCTAGTGCCTAAACAAACAACCTATGACTGGCCAAAACAAGGGAGAGTTAAGCCAGGTGGTGCTGCTGGCAACAGTGGTGTCGGCACACGCCTTTAATCCTAGCACTCAGGAGGCAGTGGTTTGTGGATGTCTGTGGGTTCAAGGCCAGCCTGGTCTACAGAGCTAGTTCCAGGACAGCCAGGGCCACACAAAGAAACCCTGTGTCAGGAAAGAAAAAAGAAAAAACAAGTCAGAATTCACTGGACTTCTGGATTCAAACACATTCTCAAAAGACTCAACAGCCCAGTGCAGTGACTCATGCCTATATAATCCTAGCAATCAGGAGGTCGAAGTAAGAGGATCTGAATTTAAGGTCATCCTTAGATACATAAATGAATTTGAGTCAGCCAGGGTTATGTGAGATTCTGTCTCAAAGAAGAAGAAGAGGAGGAGGAGGAGGAGGAGGGGGAAGAGGAGGAAGAGGAGGAAGAGAAAGAGGAAGAGGAAGAAGAAGAAGAAAAAGAAGAAGGAAAGAAAAGAAAGGAAGGAAGGAAGGAAGGAAGGAAGGAAGGAAGGAAGGAAGGAAGGAAG